TCGTCGATGAGTAAACTTGTTACATTCAGCACAACTTTTCAGCATACAGCGGAGGTGAGTGAATACTTACTGTATCCCGGCATCAACAACAATCTCAAAGCAAGAGTTGGAGAAGTTTGGTCGATCTCAATGCAAGTCATGAAGTCGCTCCTGTACTCCGTTTCGATCAGCGTCAGGTCGAATTTCCGAGGCTCGTCCAGATCATGGTATCTCACAGCTCCACGTCCATCTGACACGAGGAGCCACCTTCCTCCTGGAACAAGACAGGCAGACCAAGTGGCATAGTAACTTTTGATCAATCGTGTTTGAATGCGCAATTTTCTGCGTGATTTCCATTTCGCGTCAGCCTGAATCCGTCGTCCGACCAGTCTTTCAAGCTCTGCTGTGGAATACGAGCCTACTGGCATCTCCAAGGGCGGTGCGGTCTTACACTGGGAGTGATATTGAAGAACCTGTGTACTCCAAACGGCATGAGACCTGGAGACGTCGCGTAGAAACGTGCATGTCTAGATTTCTTGTGAGGTACATATTTGTGGAAAGCGGAAGGACCATACCTTGCGAACGGCCCTAATCGCAAACCAGTCTAGTTCACTGAGTATTTGCTCGACGGTTTCGAAGGGCAACGAGGACAGCATGGCAGATGTAAGGTCACAAGCCGAGTCTGACTGCCTTTCAAAACGGGCTGGGCTTAAATGAATGGTTAGTTATAATTGGAAGAGGATTAGTCTCACCTTCTCGAGGTCACACCAGACTAAACCAACCAACCACTGTGTCATTCAACACGGTGGTCGCTCAGCGCTTAGTGGCGGAGGAGTCTGGCGGTAGCAAGTTTCATCCTCCAATTGGCAATTACTATGTTGTCGGCGCCCCGTTGAGCAAAGGGTATAATATTCCAAGAAAATCTGTCGACACGATCGTCAGTGGACTTCAGTCGACTGAAGATGCACACTGCCGAGCTGCGGCTGCGTCTGAGGCCTCTGGAGATTTACGAGAACAATAATGTGGTTGATGGATGAACCCAATAATTAGCCGAGCGCAAACGTTTTCTTAACTCAGGAGTCTCTCCCTACCACCAACATCTTTTTGCTGACCCCCTATGCAGCTCGCGGGCACAAATGCACATATGCTATTCCTTGCTGCTACAGTCGGTGTGGCTGTCAGTGCTTAACTAAGTATCAATGAGTACAATCTTGGTGAGTTCAAGCATACGGACTAGTCTTCACCTCACAAGTATGCAAGTTCCTAGGCCGTCGTCGCGCTAATCATCGTCATGGAGTACTGAGTCTCTGAATCTCTGCATCTCCGCCCAGCACGCCAAATGGGGTTCTGCATGACAGAATGTGTTCAGTCTTTACAGGCTGTCCAGGAGTTGCTTCTCTAGGCCGTCATTAGTCCACCATTCGCCCAAATTTTGCTTCACTCATCAGGCCACATGAGGGCCGTTTTATCGTATCGTACGGTCTCAGGTCATGCTTCCCAAAATCCCGTTTTCCCATCTTATCCTATCTCGGACCGGATAGCGAAACCCATCTAGCCTAATCGTACCCGAGGTGGGCCTATAATAATTCCTCGACCCTTGCCAGCGTTTATCGTTTCTTCAGCTTCGTAATGGCCCAGTTCGCAGCCTCAGAATCTCCTATGTCCACCCAGCTGCACCAAAGCCTCACCGACCGCATCCCTAACGAACTCTACGACCACCTCATCTCCCAGTTCCACGCCGACAAGCCCGCACTCGCGACTTGCACACTCGTCTGCTCTTCCTGGCTTCCGCGAGCACGACACCACCTCCTCACTACCGCACGCATCACACGCCTTTTACGCGCCCAGCGTTTTCTCGAGCTCACCTACGCTCCGCAGGGGATCCTTGGCACACTTGTACCCGTTATTCGCAGTCTGGAGATTTACTCCAGCTCGAGGGTTGACCCAGGGCTGTATGCGGGTCGTCTCCCGGGTCTGGAGAGGATGTACGTCTCGGGCGTAGCGAGGTACTTTGGACCCGGGGAGTGCCTTCAAACCTTGGAGTGGAAAGCGTGGTTCTGTCCTCGCGCAGCTCAGCTCACGGATTTGGCGTTAGGACATGTTACCCTCGGGGCATTTGTCGATTTTGTGGGGGTTCTACCTGAGTTCGGGGCGTTAAAGCACTTGGCGCTGATTGGAGTGACTTGGCTTGACCCGTTCCTCCCTACTCCGCCGACCAACGTCGATATGGAGTTTCCAAACATTCGCTCAGTGATTTTATCGGGCCGCAGTATCCATCTTATCCCATACCTTTTGGCGAGGGGCGTGACGGAAACCGCAAGGGTGGACCTGCGAGTTGGGAAGCACAAGAGTGACGAGGCGCTCCCGCGACAAGTGGAAGCTATTGAGTATTATATGCACCTCCTCGGGCCTAATATCCAGGAGCTCGATCTTCACGATGACTCCTATGAATGTCTGTGTTCTCTCTGTATACCGTTCGTCCGATTCTTACTCGTCCCATCTAGCTGCGTTCGGCACCCACAGCGACCTTGCCCTACCCAAACTCCGTACGCTATGGCTGCACGGCATTGATCTAGCAGCGTCCAACCCCTGGGCCGCCCAAATTCTCGAGCGTCTAGCCGCCCCAACGCTCAACACACTCACCCTCGACGTCTACCTCGACAGCCTGCTTGCTCTCCAGCCTTCTCCGAACGTGCACCCTGGCTGGGACGCCATCCAACACGCCGCGACGGGCAACCCAAACCTCGCTCAGATACGGAGGGTCAAGGTACGGTGGCTGCCAGGCGATCATGGTAAGGTGATAGGAAATGAACTGCCTCTTCCGGCGTTGCGTGAGGTAGAGTGTGAGGTGGAGGGTGGGGCACTACCCTGCGCGAGCACGCTGGAGCCATATAGAGTTTATGAACGGTGGTTCGATAGGAGGGGCGCTCTGTAATGTGGCTGTGGACGCTCAATTCCAGTTGTTTCAGTTTTGAGGATGATGACAGTACAAACTGACTAAAAATCGTGCAGAATGTCTACATGCTGTGTTGGGTGGTGGTAAGGCGCGTGTCTAATTTTGCCCACATTTCAGATTTCTGAGAATTTCGAAGTCTGATCATGCGACTCTCTCGCCACGCTTCCTTGTGACCACACTCCTATCTCTTAACAGATGTGAACTCGAAGGAACAGGATGCACCATCTGGCGTAACTTCTTGAAGGCAGAGAAGATCGCCCTGAAAACCTCCTCTTTCTCCAATTACATGACCCTTTCTTTTGGGACCATATCCACGACGGCTACCTCGGGTCTACACCATACTCTCGGCGTGTGAATTGTGCGACCATCTTCCGAGTTGTTCTGAATGCATCTAGTCCATTCCGATACAGAGGACAAACTCGTAGTATCGAATACAGTCTCCCAGTCCTCCCTTGAGGTTATAAGAGACCGAATCTTGGAAGACATCGGCAATGTTCCCCAGTCAGAACAGAATGTTAAAACGCAGGTATATCTTGTCGGCGGCTATGTCGTACACTAGCTCATCTAGGCACTGTTACGAGATGGTCATAGATGTGTCGTCGGTGGCGTCTATGATGCGCGGTCCTGTGAAGATATCGACGAAATCCGTGCAGCCTTTATGGTGCAATCGGCTGGTCGTCGGCTATCCACTACGGAGGTCACCCATATCCTTTTAGAGAGTGCCCAAGACGATAAGGTTCGTATCCATGGCTCTGATACAGCATATGTCCCACTGAGAAACGCCAGGAACATGCCGCAGCGGTCTTCGCTATCCTGGAGGTAATTGTCCTTAAGGATAAAGCGAGCCCCCTGTATGGCAACGCTCGAAATTGTGATGACCATGTCATGCACATTGCACGGCGCGTTCGATCGCTTTGCTATGTGACTAGAACCATTACCTCAACAAGTGCGTCACAATTATTTTTACGACACTCCATACAGGCCACATGGTCTCAGGAAACCCACTTACGACGTTCGCGGGAGAGCGCTTTTTACCGATCGATTGCCACCCCCTGTCACGTTTGGTGTCGAGCCCTCTGCTGCCCCCTGCGCCAAAAAAGGGTAATGCAGTTGTCTGACCGAACCCTGATTGCCGTCCGCGTGCCATGTGCGCGTGTCATCGATCTATCTGGTGCTGCTAAATAGGACTCGAAAATCACCAGAGGCTCGAAAATACCATAGTCCTGGCAGTGGAAGGGAGTATGGCTGGCCTTCTGCCTTCGCGCCTGTCGATGATGGCGGGGTAATATATGCACACTCAGGCCGACGACAGATGTATTCCGTTCAATGCATTGTAGTATTCATGGCGAATTCTTGACACGAAAAGTATGTTGCAACTATTTAGGACTGGGCTGTAGATACTTTCTAGGACCACCGGAATGGCGCGTGGTGATCCAGAAGGGTAGTGGGACTTGGGGTACTATCACGAAATCGAGAGTTTGATCGTCTGCGCCACCAGCATACGCGCGTACAGCCTACAATAGTTACGTGATGTACTAACTAGTGATCTAGCAGCGAGGGATATCCTTCCGTGGGCAGCGTATTTTGTACTGGATTCTACCAGAATGCGAAGGGGTCATGGATATACGTATCTCGTTGTCTAACCACTACCCTTTGCGACGACCTTCAAGTTTCCGAGTCGAAGTGGATCTGAGTGCATATATGCTACTTCAGACAAAAAAGTAACTTTTTGCTCATCTACTCACCCTTTTACCTCTGTCTGGGAGTCGAACCAGCTTTCGCGCAACCGGGAGAAACGGCTTATGACCGGCGTCACTTGGGGTAATTGAGGACACATCTCGTGGCGCTTCACGAGAGGATTGAGGATTTTGACTGATATCTGTTGATGCAACCAGCTGTAACCTACGTTGGAGTATCAAGTAATCTATGTAAGGGGGATATCCATCCATCGGAATTCAAAGGTATTGATGTTTGACCACTTCCCTGGTTTCGATGACCTTTCAGAGTGATCATGAGTGTATATATGCTCCTTGGGGCAAAAATATGGCCTTTCGCGTTGGTTCCTATCTCTCTGCCTGGGAGTCGAACCCAGCTCTCGCGCAACCACGAGGATGGGTTGGGAACCAAGGGATGACGGGCGCGTGTACTACCGATATACCAGCATAGATGTACGAGGCGAAGTATCGTTCGATTGAAGATGTATTCCCGTGGCGCTTCAGCAAAGGATTTGGGATTTCGGCCAATAACCATTGACACGACTAGCTACAGCCTACTACGTTGTGCGCCAAGTAATCGATGTAAGAGGGATATCCCTCCCTAGGAATATTTGTATATCGATTTCTGACTACTTCCCTGGTGGCGATGACCTTCCAGAGTGATCATGAGTGCATATATGCCATTTGAGAGAGAGAAATTTACTTTCTCTTTTTCTACGACCACTCTCTGCCTGGGAGTCGAACCCAACTTTCGCACAACCACGAGAAATGGCGGTGGGTGCCTTATGACAGGCGCGTGTACTTCCGATGTACCAGCAGAGATGTACAATGAGGAAGGGATTTGGGTATCGAGGGATCGGAGCTAAGTACTGTTTCAAATGAATTCCTGAAGGTTAGAGCAGTGCCCAAATAGAATTATAACGATCCAGAAGTGTAGTATGTCCGTGTCGCAAAGGAGGAAGAAAAGAAAAATTCTATACGAAAGCATGTGATTCTCTGCCTGGGAGTCGAACCCAACTTACGCGCAACCATGAGAAAGGGCAGTGGGTGTTCAATGATAGGCGTGTGTGCTCCAGATATACCAGGAGAGAGGTACAAGGAGTTTGCAGGCCCTGACCGGACAGAAATATTTCGTCCCGGTGTTTTTGTTCTTCAAGGGGTTTGGGCTGGTTTGGGTCG